GTGTCTGATTGGCTCCGCCCCGAGCCCGCCCCGCGGCATCATGGGAGTTAGAGTTTCCCCTCATGTCGGGGAGAAGCGAGTAACTGATTTTAGAATTAATGTCCTTAAAATTACCCTCCCCTAAGAGGCGGCTGCCACCTGTCTAAGGGAAAGCTGAGATCTAAATAAAATCCAGTCTCTTCAGCCTCTTAAAGGAGCAGCTGTCTTGCTCCCTTCTGCCTTCTACATCTGCAAACACTGAAACACGAGGAAGCTGAAAAAAATAAGAATTGTCTTGGGCACAGACAGAAATTTCCTGGGAGTACAAATTGGCTGCCTGCTATTCTTGGGCACTTCTATCAGTATATTTTTTCTCTCATACAAATGTTTATAAAGTTAACATGGTGGTTGTACAATAATGCAAAAAGTTAGCCCCTCTGCCCAGCCTAAACAGACAAACTCAGCCAGATTTAGTGTCACCTCAGATGGACTTGAATTCAAAAGAACATATTTCTTGTTCTTGCCGCATTTTTCTTCATTCATTTTCAAAGAAATGCGAGATTGAAAGGGAGGAAAGACTCTTCTATTGAAAAGCAGTAATTTTCTCCATTGTACATTATTTCCCTTTAAAAAAAATTTAAAAATCTCTTTTGGATGGAGACAAGCACAACCATGAAAAATACCAAATGCTGTTGCTGTACGTGCTGATGTTAGAAGAACATAATGGAAAGGGTGGTTTAACTGAACCTGTTCAATTTCTGCTTGAAAGATGAATCTTAAAGTTATATCTGGAATTAACTGACATTTGATATTCGCATAATAGTGACGTTAGAATATTTTTCCTCTGACGGAATTAATTTTTCCCAACAGAGTCTTGAATTTATTTCCAATCTGCGGACCTCGGCGCCCTCGCCGCGGGGCTCCAGCCAGCCCTGCGATATTCATACATTCCCTGTGCAAAGCACGATTCGGTTCTGCAAGCGAACGCTGCCTTTGGGGGGGCTGTTACCCCAAGAGAGGAAAGGTCAGTGAAACTTCCAGCTGACGGGACACCCCAGGGCTCGAAGGACGGCTGGAGTTGGCAGAACCACCTTCTGTTTTCTCGTCTCGGCTGGGTGGAATAAAAGCCACTTTGCTGTCCATGCGATGGCACTGTTGGAACATGCTTTTACCTTCCCAACCGCCGCGGTTTAACTTGTGTTAAAGCACAAAATTTCTGGGCATTTCGACGAATTTTGCAGGATAAAAAAAAAAAAAAAAGAGAGAGCAGAAAAGCTTGTGGAGGACACACGGACGGGATTTCAATCGCACACCGGTGGATGGAAGCCAGAGCACCAGCAAGCGAGGAATTACAGACTGAGGGTGCCTGGATTCCAACAGCACGCCGACACAAAAGGTCAAAACCAGGAGAAACACACCAACTGGTGCGACCAAATTCACCACAGTGCCACAGATACCAGCCCAGCGCTGCCTGGCTGCACGCACCCAGCTGCACCAGGGCTGATTTCAGCCTGTCCCCTGTCCTTTGCCTCCAGTAAACACGTCTGGCTGTGTCAGCGTTTCTCTCAGGAATATTTTTCCTGGTTCATTAAATGCAGATGGGATGTGGCAATCCTTCCCAATGCCAGTCAGTCGCTTTTCAGGTCATGATGCCTGCAAATAGTTCAGAGCTCCTTATTAATGCACTGAGGCAGCAATGGCCAGTTGCAACCTGCGTAACGTAGCTGGGAGTAACCGTAACTCGGTTCTGATAAGGACGGGTCCCAGCTGCAGAAATCCAGGGCAGAGGGGCTGGCGAGCATCAGATTGTTTTCATCTGCACTTTGCTCCTTCTCTTAAACCTCCTCTGTCCTGTCCGGTCTCTCCCTATACCCACGTGGGTTAGAAAGCACAGCACCGTGTCCCCTTTACACTCACTGCTGCGTTCTTGCAACACCTGCTTCCTAGTTCAGCTCTCTGCTTTGCTTCCGTGGAGATCATCCCTTGTTCCACGTAAGCTGGGTTATGTCAGCCACGGACCTGGGACGCAGCCCTGCATTGCCAAAATAATCCCTCATCAGCCAGGCACTTAACACATAAGGAAGCTGCACCTTCCAGATGACAGCCAGGTCCCAAGAGGAAAAAAGCCCCAGACTGGACTCCTCAGCAGACAGGAGTGTCTGAGCCCAGAGTCCCAATGTCAGCCCAAAGAAAACCACCACAAAAGGAGCTGTGCGGCACACACCTGAGGAGACGGGGCAGGAGAACCTGTCTCAATGAAATGTGCTTCTCCACAGTGCAAAAATAGGATCCATGAAAACCAGGAGAGATGAGGAACAGCTAGTGCTCACCCTCCCAGCACAGCAGCACTAAAGAGCCCAGACCTCTTCTTAGGGGCTCTTATATACTGAGCACCATGGGAAGGAGCGCTGTGATTGGCCCATTTGGGTCACCTGACCCATCCTCCCCTCCCCATAGGCACAGCTGCCCCTGCTCCTCTATCGTACTGCCCTTCGAGCCAGGAGCTCCAGAGAACTTTCATCCTGGGGCTCTCAAACCAGGACACAGCCCAAGAAGCCGACGCAGAGGTCAGCAGCCGTTCTAGCACAAGCCTGGGTTTATAAGCTGAGCACAGCAGAGCTGACTTGCTCTCAGGGAACCACCTCTGCTCTCAAGTGAAGCTCAAAAGGTGATGTTTTACCGGCAGAAGAGCCTACAGGGCTCCTCAGGAACGGAGAGAGGGTGGTAAGCAGAGGGGTGGGCACCTGAGACAAGAGTGTAGCGGAGAGATGGTGACATCTGGCACCTGGAGGCAGTGCTGGCCTCCACCTTCAGCAGCAATGGTTCAAGGGACACCTTGAGCCCCCTTGGATAAGGGAAACCACAGGAAACATTGTGCTACACCCAGCACCTCTGCGTTGATACCCACTGCTGCCAAAACCCCAGAGCTGGAAGTACCCCTGGTGTTTTGTAGGTGGGTCCTGGCAGGAACTCTTCTTTCCCCGGACAGATAAGACACAGACAGCTAAAGAAGTTCTTCGTACATAATGTTTTTATGACATAGAAAAATGACAGTCCTTCAATACAGAACATGTGATCAGTCCTTGCTTACCAGGGATGGAGGAAACAGCAGCTCTTAAGCACGTGAACTCCTGGCGGGGTGAGGACTGTGGCGGCCCATGCCAGCTGCTTGTGCAGGGCGGAGAGCAGAGCCGAGCTCCGAGCTGAGCTCCGGGCTGCAGCCACATGAGCAGCCATGGGGTCAGGGTGACTTGGCGTACGCCTTGCAGCTGGCATCGCGCTGGAACACCCGAAAGGGAACAGCCAAGCTGTCGGTGCTGGCTTAATTACCCCCCAAGAAAGATGAACACTGGGCTGTGTAACTAAATTGCTACCGTGAGCTGGGCTAACACTTTCGAAATCAGTTCAGCCTCATCTCTGCTGTACCTGCAGCCACTTTTGCTGTGCAGTGTAAAGGGCCCCAGGGGGAAGAGGTAAGGAAGGTGGAGAGATGAGACGTGTCCATGTCCCCAAATCCTAAGTGATATTTCAAGGTCTCACTAAAAAGTTGAATTAACTGTAATCTCTTCTGGCTTTAATCGCCATAATTGGACAAGGACCTCATCCTCCTGTACTCCAGCTTCCCCCTGAGCAGAAAGATGGGCTTCGTGTCAGCAAAGCAGCTGAGATGCACCTTTTTTTTTTTTGAGGGGATGAGGTGCAAACCTATTTCCCTTATAAGTGACTGTCATCTGTCACTATATCTGTGTGAGACATGTTGCCTATCACTTCTGCTGTTGGGAGTGAGAGTGATGAGCTTCCTGAGGCAAAGGACACTCCAAGCCCTCTGTGGTGATCGTCCTTGTCATTATCTTCTTCCCTGCCCTCCTCCAGACTATGGTCACTGTCATCATCGCTATCTGCTACATTATCCTCAATCAATTCAACCATCTCTCCAGCATCTGGATCCACATCGGTCTTAAACCACACAGCTTTGTAGCCATCATCTCCCATGTTCCTGTCTGTCTTGAGGATAGACTTCACTTCTTTCTCCTGCTCAGTCTTTTCTTCCACTTCTTCCTCATGCTCGGTCTTTTCTTCCACTTCTTCCTCATGCTCGGTCTTTTCTTCCACTTCTTCCTCTTTCTCTTCCTGTTCAAAGATGATGGTGGAAGCTATAGAAGCTTTTGGGAGACTATCAATTTCTTCTGCACTGGAAGAGGGCAAGGGAAGCGCTGGCTGCTGCAGCATGTGCGGCATTGACCTCACACCACCGTTTTCTAGCGTTTCGTGCTGTACGGGGCTCGAATCTTGCTCGTAAGATTGATTCTGGTAGCCCCCTGCGATTTTCTTGGAGACCTACAGGAGGAGAGACACCTTGTAGTTGTAGTGAAAGAAAAAGAAACGAGGGGTGGGGTGGGGAAAGGGGTGGCTGAAAGGACTGAGCTACTGCTCAGGAAAGCTTCGGCTTGTTTTGCAGTTAGACCTATTGGAAGCCTGAGAAAGATACATCTTCCTAGAATAGCTATTTTTTTTTATTCCATTTCTGTATTTTGGGATAAGCATGGGCATGTTTTGCAGGAGGGCTGAGCACCAGCAATGCGTGCTGATTTGTACCCATCCATTTGAGGTATTACTCTGGAGTGGGATTTACCTCGCGCAGGGTGAAGGACTGTTTTATTCACCTGAACTATGTGCTCTGGGCTCATGTTGTAGTAGTGGAGCCTGGGCTCCTGACAGTCCCACCCTAAGGCAGAGCCCAGCGTCCGGTCGGATGAATTACACCCTCAACTTCAATGTAACCTGTCTGTCAGCGAGTCGAGAGAGCCAAAAGTAAATAGCTCAGGTACAGGCAACTGGTAAAGCCCAGGTTTAGGATAAGATATGAAGGGACCTTTCTCTTCTTTGACTACAGAGAGAAGATGAACAGTGGTTTATACCACAGACACATTTTTCATGTGTTTTTCTGATACGTGTCACGTGTATCCTAGATTCTGTGCTTCATGGAGCTGTGGTCCTCACCTTACCGCGTCTGCTCATCACCTACCATACAGCTCCAACATCAGGGGACAAAGGAACAGCAAGACCAAAGCAGTGCCCCCTTTGCAAATACCGTCTCAGGATTGATTCGCCACCTTCACATAAACATGTAGTATTCAGACAGCCCATTCGTACTTGAAAGCCTCCTCAGATACCAATTCTAGCTCTAAGAAATACAGATACAAACAAGGCACTTACTTTTTTTCTTATCAGGTGTTTGACTGGTTTTCCACACTGTTTATATATCATCACTCCAAGGAAGACCAAGACAAGTAATAGCAGTGCTGCTAACGTACCACCTAAGATAGCCATATCCTGAGCAGTGTATATCTTGTCAGAGGAGGTTACAGCTACAAGAAAAATAAACCAGGGTTAGAAGTTGCAGCTACCTGTTGTAATGCAACACTTCATTGTGGAAGAAGCTCCAAAAGATTTTGGAAGGGCAAAGAAAAATCCTGTGCTGCAGAATGTGACAGTGACACGTTTAATATCACAGAAGGCTATTTGTTTGCTGTCCTAAGAGCAGAGGGTGTTTTTAAGGTGACCACTCACAGAATATTATAACTTCCAATAAGTTACATGCAGGGGAAATAGCATCCATTTACAGGACAACAACTTTTGCCCCATAATTTAACTAAGCTACTACATACATGACCGTACTAGGTGAGCAAATGTTACATGTGGTAAAGCTAGGTAGGTCTTTCACTTCCTCACTTCACCAATTTACACCAAAACGCAAGAGTGAGGTATTTTTTGTACATATGTGTGTGAAAATGCAAAGCTTCTTTTAATCTGGAACATCACCTCTGATGCTAATGAGGGCATTCAGATAGGAAATTTAAAAAAGCATAATATGAAATAGGAAAAGCACTAGAAGGTCCCCAGGCCAGGAAACCCTTTCCTGCTTTTTCTAGCTGTAGCAATGACACCACCCTTCTCAGGGGCAGCTTGTGCGTTCATCCACTGGTCTGTGTAAGAGTATTTGTAGAGATCAACATCACAGAATCCTCAGGGATTCTTTCTTTTTAGGTTTTTCAGCTTCATTTTGTAGTCTGAGTTAGTCTCTGTGAAGTTTAATGATTAACAGAACACAGTTTTCTTCTCCTGCTCACCTGTTTACAACAATGAACTTTGAATATTCCCTCCACGTTTGATTGCACTGTCAGTTTATCATTAAGACGTTGGTGATTTTTTGCTTCTTAATCACAGCTCCTGGAGAGCCACAGCCCACAGAGATGACCTGAAACTCCATCACCATTAACTCCATCTGTGCTGTGCTCAGCTTGGTGGAATGTCTCGCCTCGAGATCCGTGTGAGCTGGCTCTGGCACCAGTGTCTCAGAAACCAGAGCCCAACGTACCGTTACCCTTTCTCAGAAGGGGAGTACATTGAAAACTACTCTAATTTCTCCCTGGATATTGGAACGTCCAGTAAAGCACTCCCCAACCCACTGCATGCTCATTCCTTAACATGGCAGTTTTCTCTGTTTTTGCCTAGAAGGGAGAAATTATGTATGATGGTGTCGGGGCAACCCTCCTTTGTCATGCTAAGACATCCTGGATTATTTCTGACCCACAGAACAGCATGAAGCAACCCCAGATTTAGCTTTGGAATAACAAGAAAAGACATGACAATACACAGCACTACTTAAAATCTCAGGAGGCTGTCTGAGGCATGTGATGGCCACATTATAAGTTTTTTTGAGTGTTTTCTCCCTTATAGGCACTGTAGGACCTCCTGTAGGTGTGGAGATGGCCTCAGACCAGGTCCAGAGACCTGTCATTGCCAGTTTGCCCACAGAAGTGGAAAAGACTCCCCAGCCACCTTCACAAAGCAAAAAATAGACACCCAGCCTACCTGCGGCAAGGGTGACCTCCACCACGATTACAGTGCTCGCCTCCTGCAGGCTCAACATGTCTTTTCCAACAGCCTATGTGAACATGGGAAAAAGACAACTTAAGGACTGCCTAGATCTCCAGCTCACTCTTGAGGTACGTGGATGGGCCTTTTGCACTGGATTTACCAAAGGATTTCCAAGTTTCAGGCTGTAGCCTTTTGAGCTGAGGTTATTTGGCTTAAGGATCTCAGAGGTCTTTTCCAACCTCCGTGGTTTTATATGTCAGCAATCACACACTGCCCATACCTACACACCAACCTCCTCCCCACTTGCTCACCCTCCATTTTCTGTTGATCAGAGTGTCTGAGAGGATGCTTCTAAAATCTCCCCCATTGACTTTTTGATATTTTCCACAGGACTGGAGAAACAATTTTACAGCTAGAACCAGATATAGCCAGTATCACACAGAGTAAATCTGCTATCACTTCATCTCCCTCCATCCCTATATATTTATGATGCAAAAGGTTGGGGCAAGGACTATCCTTTCATTATATCCCTTATCTAATGGATTTCCACCCTTGGTACTTTCCTGCTAGAAACTACCCCTTCTTCCTGGCAAGATAATGAAGAAAGTTGTCCTACCTCAATGGTTACAGTTCCGGGTGACTGCAGCATCACGTTTGTCAGGATGAGTCCATCTCTGGTTGCGATGAATTCGGTGCTGTTTTTTATGTAGTACTCAATGTTTGGGTTGGCTTTCTGAAAAGTCAGAAGAGTGATCAAATCACGCTGTTGGTGCTTTGTGTGCATCTTCCTAACAACCCATAGGCAGGACTTGTCACATACACCTGGAGTATGAGCTGGTGTATAATGCAATAAATAAATCTGCTGGGTTTGGACCAGCTCCTCTTGCCAGGCCAGTCCACAAATAGCTCTCCTTGACCTGGCAGAAAGAGGACACCTCTGCCTGGCATCCTGCCCCTCCCAAACTCTTCAAGGAACCACTTCACCCACCGCTAATTCAGATCTGGCCCTGTTCACCATGTTTGCTGCCCCTGGGCTTTACTCAGGATGCTCTTTGGCAGTGGCTCAGCTCACCTACATAGCTCGGTGTGGGACTGGCTTTTGGAAGGGAGGAGCCCAGCAGCTTCTCTGCATTGCATCACACCATGAGTGGTTCAGATCTGGGTGGGATTTCCAGGGAAATACAATAGGGAACGCTAGAGGAACACGTGTGCTTGCTTCTCCCCAAGTGCCCTTCCTCATGTTTTCTGATCCTGCTTTAAGCCTGAAGCGGTGAGACAGAACACAGAATGTTTTCAGTTTCTTACATCAGGGAAATCATCATCTGTTGCTGTTATCATCAAGGGGCTTGAGGGATCATCAGCCTGGAAGACAAAGCTTTTCGGGGCCAGACCAACAAACACTGTCCCGTTGTAGACCCTGCTCTCAAAGCTCGGTGGGTGGTAACTCTTATTGATGACCTTAATCTCTACAGTGGCTACGGAGTATTTCTGTATGTTGTTGACCTGGGTGGCCTGGAGAAAAAGAGAGAGAGAGGTGTTAGCTTTTTCCTAACAGTGATGAGACACAGAAGGACAGGTTTGACCAGAAGCCCATTGCAACCCATGGGGTTCCTTCCGTCACTTTCCGTGAGCTTTGAGCCAGGCCTGTCACAAGTGGCCTTAGGGTTTGGAGCCCTTGTGTTTTAGCTTGATTCTGCAGTTGGCCTCCACACAGTCTTGGTCTGGCTCCAGAGTCTAGATACAACCCTCCATAAGGGCCACATCTGGACAAATTGCCACCCTCGACTGCAAAGCAGTGGGATTCCAGCACCAGGATGAGAGCCAACTCATCTTCACGAGGGCTTGGGTCAGTTCAGTTACTGCCTGAGAGCCCCCATCTCCCTGGGTGGGTATGGGCAGGGAGTGCTTTTCAACTCCCTCCTTTCCTCTTGAGCTGCAGCCGAAAGAGGAGCTTATCCCAAGGGCTGAGTTACGTTAACTGCTGGAACACAAGCTGCAGTCGTGCCTAAAGCAAGCCTTCCAATGATGCTCCTCTGTCCTTGGAACTCAGCAGCGTATCTCCTTTCCGTTAATTTGCTTTGATGTTGCCTCTTAACTTCTGCAAGAGCTTTGCAGGTAAGTTGTTATAAAATACTGGTCAAATATTAGGCCCAGCCTAGAGACAGGGTGTAACCGAGTTAGCTTTAATTATTAACGTCACTGACTCCTGTCCCACGAAGACTGCGGCTTCCTAGAAAGCCTCCAGGTTGATTTGACTTACCATAACCTGCAACAGGTAGGAGTCTGGGGAAGTTGCTACTTTGTTCATTGTTAGGTTCCCTGTGTCTGCATCCACTGAGAATACTTTGTCTGCATCCCCTAAGGAAAATGAAAACACTATTCCATCATCCCATACCTTCAGAAAGTGACCTGGAGCTCATCGGCTCATTTTTGTCACATCTTAGTGACAATACCCCCAGGGCATAATTGCCCCCCCAGCCACTCCAAGGGCTCGGAGTGCTGGCCAGGGATTCAGAGGAAATCAAAAAGGGTAGGGAGGCCACACTACCTCCAGTGGAATTTAAGGTTATTTAATGTATTTTTATTTAATGTATTTATATTCACAGATATGGTGGCATGTGGCATAATAAAGGGAGGTGAACAAGTGATCTCCTGACTCATATGATCTACCTTTGCCTTAATAGTTCTTCGCCCCCCCACTATTGTTTTATAAACAAATAAATACTTTGAATTAAATAAAGGGCCCCATCAATGAGTGGGCAATCAGATGACTATTCAAGCAGTCTTTTTGAAATTAAGACTAAAAGAGGACAAATTAGATGAATGAAAATTATGCTGCTAATGGGGGAATTTTAGGTTCAGCTCAAAGAATGAATGAAAATGGTGTCGCCAGACTGGTAAAAGCAAGTCCAAAAGCTTAAAGATGTCTCACCTCCCCCAGAAAAGCAATCCCCAGGCCCTCACCTCTCAAGGGCCACAGAGGGTATCTCCTATACCAGGTGATGTAGGGTCATACGAGCAATGCATTAGAGGGTGACAACTTCTACTCACCTCCAACGATACTGTACACGATTTTTTCATTTATGGTGTAGTCAGGATCGACAGCATAGATCGGCCCCGGCTCTAGGATGAGCGGTTCTGTCTGCAATGACAAGGCAAAGCGTTACGGACTGCCCTGAGGCACCAAATCCGCATTTGCAGTATTCTCCTGTCCCAGCGTGGCTCTGGGGCTGTTGTCTGGACAGAATGGCATTTACTCACAGAATCCTAGAATGTCTCAGGTTGGAAGGGACCTCAGAGCCCATCTAACCCAACTCTGCCTTGGGCAGGGACCCCTTAACCAGCCCAGGTTGCTCCAGGCCCCATCCAACCTGGCCTGGAACATCTCCAGGGAGATGGACAAGTTATTCCAGAGCCTTGCCACCCTGACACTGAAGAATTTCTCCCTAAGATTCAACCTAAACCTCTTCTCCTTCAACTGAAATCCACTTCCCCTTGTCCTGTCACTGGACACTCTTGTAAAAAGTCCCTCCCCAGCCTCCCTGTATCTTCCTTTCAGGTATTGGAAGGCAGTGATAAGGTCTCCCCAGAGTCTTCTCTTCTCCATTATTGCCAGGTGATGTGCTACAGGAACAAGAAGAAGCAGGACTGCTTGGGGTGGGGGAACCTCCACTCTCCAGGATGACGAAGGCTCCCTGTCATGGTGAATCATCTTCATTTATCACAAGAGATCAGCACAAGCTTGTGGAAATCATCAGGCACCACCCACTGGGAAGAACATCTGAGTATTTTTTGAGCATAGCATCAAGGATACTGTTAGATCACACCCACTTACCGACATCTCAGAGATATTGACCCTCCCGGTATAGGGGCTGCTGATGCAAACGCTGTTGTCCGCATTGATGAAGGTACAGGGTAGGAACCAGGGGGGTTTGGTGTCAGCTTGTTCAATAAATATATTTATCGTTGCGGTACCTGTGTTGGTGGTCTCATTGCTGCCCATAGGTCTGTCCTGTACCCAAAGGCAAAGCACACTTGTGAGATGCAAGTTTTATTGCCAAAAGAGGAACCCATCTGCAAAAGCCAGTGGCCCAGGGTCTTTTAGCTGTTGTAACTCCATTCTGTCTAAGGCTTAGCAGTTTATGTGAGATTATCTCATTCTGCTGACGAAGGCGGACTGAGTGCAAGTCTGTCACCGTGCAATGATGGAAAGCAGAACAAATTCACTGCTCCCAGTACCCACCCTCCCTCCTGCCACGCCAGAGCTCTTCCATTCAGACTTACCCTTCCGTTAAGAGAGACCGAGGCAAACAAGGCATTTTGTTCCTCCCCAAGAACTTACCCTGGCATACAAGAGCAATGTCGTCAATTTAAATTTCTCGTAGTCCAGTGCTTTTTGTAAATAAATTTCTGGGTTATTCATTCCTTTTATGGCAAAATAACCATCTGTGCCCTGGTGGGGGGAAAAGGAAAAAAAACCTACATTCTAGCAGACTCAGTCACAGACAGGCTCAAAATGTTGCTCGTCGCTGTGTTTGTCGCCCCAGTCAGGCCTGTAATCCCAGGAATGGGGCCGGGGGGTGCGGGGAGCGGTGTGAGAATGCCAGATCTACTTAATCGTTGGGGTTGCACACTGGAGCTGCTCGCCTTGTCAGAAAGGTCTGTTCACATTCTCCTGAGTTTTCTTCTCCAAGACCCCCTGGCTTTGTCAGCCTACCTGCTCAGCACGTACGGGGTGAAATCGTTTCCCTCGTTTATTGCCTACACTCAGCAGGTTGCCAATTATCCTTGATTTGCTTGGCAATCTCACCACCACACACAGAACAGAGCAAGGACAGTTCAGCCTCCGAGCTCAGCTGACAAAAATCACAGCTGAGCTTCAGAAGCCACCGTAAAGCAAAACGAAGATAACGTGTTGAATTTTGCTCTATAACCTCCTGCACTCGCTTTGGTTCTCCTTTAATCTTAGGTCTTGACCAGAACTCCTCTGAATTTCTAACCTCCTCTGGATTTACACTGCTATGAGTGCAAAGTCTGGTTCCAGAGCTGAAATTCAAAAACTTGGGGTTTTTCTTCACAGCCTTTAAAGTCCCTGGGGTTATAGAGCTTAATGAAAGCAGAAGGTCAGACACTGCCTTTTCACTCCACAATGCCTTTTAAAAAAGTAAATATACATTTTGGTTTTCTCCTGAGTTTTCTTTTTTTTTTTTTTTTTTGCTTCTAGCAGGCCCTTGCACTCTAGTCCGGCATCAACTTAACAGTGCCTAAAATTCATTTGCCGTGTTACTAAGCAAACCCCTTAAGAGCAAATAAACTAAGGCATTAAACTGGACCTGCCTTTGGCTGTGCCAGATTCTTTGTGTGGTCTTGGGCAGCTCATGTCATCTCCACTCTGCATGGACGCTGCCAGCGAACTGGACAATAACTCCTTCTCTCTGTCTCCAACTCAGTGCAGTTCTGAGCTCTGTGAGGTACAAAGGTCTCTCGTGATATGTTTACAGACCATCCCAACCAGACTTCGCTGGATCATATGGCTCAGTATCCCAGATGAAAGTTTAATCTGCACAGCATAATAAAAGCATGAGCAGTAATAGAATTCTACGCTGACAATGTTCCTTGCTCTGTTCTGCCAACCAAACCAACATTTGGTTTTGCAAAAGACGTACCTCTTCCAGAAGCTGTCAGGGAACCCAATGCAATACCTTAGCCTTAAAGCTGGGGCTCCTCTGAATTAAACACAAAGGTTTCTTCAGAGCTGCCCTTTTCCCCCCAAAGAACAAAGACACTCACCGGCACTATTGTTGTGAGTTCGTAATAGATGGTGTCCAGGTCAGCATCAGAGGCCCTTAAACCTTCGGAGGCTATAATGGTTGAATTCACTTTTGTATCCTGAAACAAAGTTGTTGTGGTTATTTGCTCCGTGAAATGGGCTGAAGACTTCCCTGTGCTAACCCTTCCTCAGTCCCACAGCACTTTTCACTTCTGTAAAATTCTTACCTCAGGAACAACTTTGGTGAGATTTGTTTGCTGGAACACGGGGGTGTTATCGTTCACGTCGAGAATGGTCACAAGAATTTCCAAAGAATCGCTCTGCAGAAAGGGTAAAGTGAGAGAAGCAAAGACAAAACCAAGACTGTTCGGGGCTGATCCTGGTTTGCAGAGGGACCAGCGGGGATGGCGGAAGGAGCACAGCTGGATGGGGGCTGGATGGGGCTGGGGTCTGGGGAGAGGGGCTGTTCCCACCCCCTTCCCACTTGCAGCACCTTGGGCATTCTCTCTTGGGCTGTCAGAGGAAAGAAAAGGACATCCTCTCATGCCAGCCTGTGGACCAGGCAGAGCAGAGGGAGGTAAGTAGGTGCTGCCCTGCGCTGCCTCGTACTGGGGCTGAGGTTGGGAAGGGCACTCACCTGCCCGGCGCTGTCCTGGCAGCTCAGGTACACGATCAGCAAAGGATACAGCTGGACGCAAAAACAAAAACGCAGCCGTTGAAGAGACAAGCCAAAATGTACTGACTCTTTCTAAAGCACACGAGATAAATATGCTCGTTGCTGAATTGCAGATGCTGATGGGCTTTATCTTGTTTTCACTTTAGGTGAATCCAAGGAGAGATTTTGTTTTACATTGAATGAAATGGAAACGTACCATTCAGTAGGTACAGTGTCAGCTGCAGGTTAACTCTGCTGTTCTTTGCTCAAATAAATGGGAGTTTATACAGTTGGGGAAAGGCAGCTTAAGGATGCTGGTGGCCGTATACAGACTGCGCCGGGGAGGTAAAATAACTCAGCAGTGACCTAACTGAACACACAGACCTTCTATACTGCCTTTACGCTTCGCACAACACCACCTCACTGCTCAGCCTGTGTTTTCTACAGGCAGACAGGGATCATCTTATGTGAGTCCTGGAGAGCTTTGAACACTATAATTGTCACATTTGGGAGTTTAAATCTTCCCCTTGCTTTAATTGATACAGACTGGTTGAAGGAAAGTGGCAGCAGGCATCCCGTGCATCCCTCCCCTTCCTATATGCTGCTTGTGGAAGCAGTGACCTCCCAAGCAGCGAACTCAAACAGCTGAAATAGATTTATTTTTCAAAGTTATTTTCTAGATCCTTTAGAAATGAGTTACACACTCCTGGAAGCCCAGGATCCTAGGCTGAAACTCATTACACCCTGGCATTATCCGTCTTATCCTTGCAGCCTGCCAGCTAAAGGCTTACCTCATAGTCCACACTTTGGCTCAGCTGCAGCTCATTCCCCTTTATAATGAAAAATTCATGATCGGGAGAAGTAGGATCAATCGATATACTGAAGCCCGGTTCCACACGGATCGTGGCCACCACGTAGCCAGGAAGGTTATTTTCAGAAACGCTTGGTTTGCTATTACTGACAGAACATCCTGGAAAAAACACACAAATGAGACACAGAATTGCCCAGAGATTCACGTTGTGACAGAGCTGAGCAAGACCTGAGATCCCTCTGGTTACCCTTGGAGAGGAGGTCGTTGAGTAAAGCTGTCTCAGAGTAGGAGTGTAAAAATCTCCCACCTGTACGGGTCTGACCTGCTTTCGCGAGAGATATTCCTCTGTGATCACGGACCTCCTGCAAGAGCTTACCTTGTTGCTGTGCCGAAACACGGGTTGTGAAGGGCAGCAGAAGGAGCATAGCAGTGAGGAACTGGTGAGAAACAGCCATGGTGAGCTGTCAGTTGTTGAAGAAATCCCTGTTTCTGATGAACACGATCCTCATCTCTCCCTGTTCCTCTCAGTGCCGCCGGCTGTGTTTGCTCCTTCGAGAAGGCAAAGAGTGTCAGCTGGCTGGAGTGGATCGATGTGGTTCAACCTTTGCCTCTTTGCCTCACTGGATGACTTATTGAGAGATATTTACCAGTCATGGAGCATGATGACACATAAATTCCCGTTTCTGCTTTGTTCCTGGGTCTTTCTTGTCCTAAACTCTCTGTAGTGGCAAAGATGTATTTGAAGCCTTTCAGAACTCAGAGCCATGCCCCCTGAGATGAGCATGAAGAAGGGCAGGGGCTGACACTCCCCGGTGGGGAGGAAGTTGGCAAATTTATGTTTCCGATGTGCCAGGGATAGGATCTGTTTTGGTCAGCTGAGTTCCTGAAAAAAAACCCTCATAGCGATGCGAGTATACCCTTTGTATCTTATTTTAGCCAGGCTTTTCTCCATAGCACACATTCTCTTTTTGATCTCCAGCCCACGACTCATAGTTCTCTTTTGGAGTTGCACTCTGTCATGTGGTTCCTGAAAAAAACAGTTTATTAGAAAATAAAAACCCAGCTCTCAAATGTCTTATCTTTCTTTGTGGCAAGGGCAAAAGTTTCAGTGGCAACAAAGCCAGCGTAGCTGTTGTTTTGTTTGGATGCTAAAGGAAGGAACTAGGCTCCGTGTAAATCCTTGGGCTGAGATAGTCGGTTGTGTTTCTGAGACAACAGCTGCTTTCACTGCTCCTTTTAAGTTCCCAAATGATTTGAGAAAGTTCTCCCATGCTGCATTTTAGCCAGACGGCCCTTAGTGGCTTAAAAGAAATACAGATTGTGAACATGTCTTTCAAAAGTCCTTCAGGAGGTCTCTTCCCTACCGGAGATTTCAAACAAACACCAAAGCCCGTGAGAATTGCATTTCAGCATCACGGTGAGGGAATGGGTGCTTAAATGAAACTTTGGGAGGGAGCATCTTCTTTGCAGGTGTCAGGTACATCTTAAATGGTGAAAACTAATGGTGCAGGATGGACTGAGCCACGCTGTGATAGGCACACATGACCACGGCTGGAAATGCCTTGTTTTAGAGCTGCTTGTCAAAATCTATTGGTTTTATAGGAAAGATGGAGCTGTTCTATCAGCAGAAGGAATCTGCCAGGCAGCGCGGCGCAGGCACAACACGCAAACTCCAGTAATCGGCTCGAGCAAATTCCTCCAGTGGAGCTTTGTCATTAGCGGCTGTAAGAAAGCTGGGCCAGTAAATCATAGAACCATAGAATCACAAAGGCTGGAAAAGACCTCTAAGATCAAGTCCAACCATCAACCCAACACCACCGTGACCACTGAACCGTGTCCCAAAGGGCCACATCTACACAGTTTTTGAACCCTTCCAGGGATGGAGACTCCGCCACTGCCTGGGGCAGCCTCTTCCAACACCTCACCACTCCTTCAGTAAAGAATTTTTTCCTAATCCCCAGTCTAAAGTTTGTGCTAAATGGAGGCCTCGATGCCGGCCTCTTTGCGCATTTGGATTGTGGGCAGTCTCGAGTCCCAGCCACCGAAGATGAGGCCGGGGACTAGCTAGTCCCAACATGCCTCGTGTGGGGGAAGCCTGGCAAAATGCTTCTCACCCCAACCCTGCATTCCTAATGGCCCAACGCCTGGCAATGGCCCAACGCCTGGCAGTGGTTCCACCTTTATTACCATTTCCCAAAGAGCAGCCAAAGCACAGGAGCAGCTACCAAATCTTTACTTGACTTCAGCAGCAGGGAACCGGCTGCTAACACAGAGCGGCAGCCATGTGCTTCGTTCAGGCTCCATCTACTGACAGCATTTCATGCTGACATAGACATCGCTCGAAAATCTGAAAAGTTTTATTGGGTTTTGGATGCTTTCCAGTTTATTTTTTTTTTTAATTTGCTTATCTCAAGAGTTTTGCCTAAGCAAATTTGATAGCTTTTTTGTTTATTTTCAAAGTTATATACATGCAAAGCCATCTTCTTGTCTGTTTCTTTCCCTTGACCTTCAGTTGAAACTGTCTGTGTCTTCCTTCAGGTCTGCAACCAGCAGCTTAGAGATGGGGCAAACGAACTGGCTGGTAATTGCAGCAGCTTCCCTGGCATCACTGTCCGGGCGGCTGTTGGAAGAGGAAAAAAATTGTTATTCCCTACGGACTGCAGGAAAGGTGACAAGGGCACCTTGTAAAATTCAGAGATGACTCCAAGGAGCAGATGTACGACAGAGGGACCCAGACCACCACCACCTGCAGCCACGCAAGCCTTGCACAGGGAAGTTTGTTGGTGCTGTCATTCCCATTTATTCTCGGCAATGTGGATAAGAGGTCCCAAGGGGCAGCTTATTCCTCCTAATTTTAGTGATTTAACAAGGAGTTGTCTAATCGAAGGTGGGAAGGTACAAGGTCCAGATGCTTGGAGAGCCCACCCCGAGGTGCGTGTTTGATTCAATAGCTGAATCAAGACAGGGTAGCAGAGGCTTTCTATCTGAACTGTTAGATCAGGTTTCCAAATGAGATGAACAATTGTTTCAGTCCGAGATGACAGCCATATATAATTAGGAAAAGGTATGATTTCATTTCACTAGGGTTTATTATTTCCAAGAACTGGCTTTCCTGTGGCACTTTCTAGCTGTAAATCTCAATGCCGGCTTTGCTTTAGGTAAGGCAAAACTGCGTGCCAGGTGGCTTGGCACGGAGAAACAGAGATTACAGTGAATGCGGGCGCAGAAATCAATCGAGATCGCCCGCCACCATGTGCCACCTCATTAAACTAAAGCATTTGCTTTTCTAGCTCTGCAAACCACCCCTGGGAGTGTGGTTGCTGGCGGGCTCACAAGCTGATGGGGAATGAGGCAGGAGTGATTTGAAAATATGGGAAATTTAGTAAATCTTCCACCTTCCTTCCCCTTTTTGAGGATGTTTTGGAGGATATCAGCTGAGCCCTTCTGACCTGCTGCGTTTAGCAGTCACAGGGGTGTTGGCTTGATGGTTGGACTTGATGATCTTACAGGTCTTTTCCAACTTTAATGATTCTATGATTACATCCAACTTTGTACTCAGGGTAAAAAAATGGGCATTTGCAAGTTACTAAAAGTCCTCTTTTGGCTTCAACACCTTGGAGATCAGGGCCATAGGGGTGACAAATCTGCCCCACCTACCTGCTGTTTAGAAAGCTCTGGTACAACCACATAAAGCAAAGTTCCTCCTGCTTGTTTTCTTCTTCTCTCCCCTGCACATCTGTGTTGACTAGGCCTGGAGAGCTGATTTAGATAAAGAAAATTAATATTTTGGTGTTGTTTTTTTTTTCCAAAAAAAAAATAATAAATTAAACAAGTAGAGTACCCAACACAGGTGTAAAGCAGGCTCACCCCTGCAGTGACCTGCCCCATGGTCCCCGCTCTGTTAACCTGCTGATTGTCACCATAGATGTGCAGACAGAAATAGAAGGATCCTCCTAAAATCAGGCTCAGATGCTTTCTGGCTGCCAAAGGGATGGGTTTCAAGATGTGCTTGCTCTCTGCCTCATTACCCAGTACCAGCATGTCCTTCTGCCCATGGGGGCATACTTTTTCCCAGCATTTGGAAATTCAAAATCTGCTGCATCTGCCAGGATTTTGCTGTCCCAGAAAACACCAAAGCACCCTGAACAGATGGGAAGGAATCAATGTACTGTGTCCCTGCCTTGAAGAAGGACCAAGCTTGAAGGAAACCTCTCCAGATAATGTCCCTTCATAGAATCATAATCCTAATGTTCCAGGGGCAAGGGCAGCGGCACTTGGAAGTTTTTTCACAGTGACCACACTTTAGGACTGATGATGGGCTTATACACGTGGCTTTAGTGGGAGCTAGCGGCCCCATATTTTGCCTAGATGAAAGACATAATATATTTTACATATTATGATTATGTCTAAAGCCTGCTCGGTCTGGCAGTCAGACCCAGAGGTCTTCCTCATTCTGTGACAGACCCCATTTATCTACAAACAGTTTCTCCGGTGCGTTATTTGAAGCAGGTAATTCACCTACAGCTTTCCCCAAAAGGCTAAATCAAAATGCAAACGAAAAAAATAAATAAATCCCAGGCTGTGATCCGACGTAAAGTTTTGTGTCCTGTGGGTCAAGCTGGGTAGGCGTGTGCAATAGGTAATGTTGGGTTATGCTTAGAAATGGCCTCAGTGAGTAGGTTTGTGTCCTGCTCTGCCTGCTGTGGCATGGATGGGATAATCTCTGCTATTGCAGGGGCAGATTAGAGGGAGAAGACCAAGTCTCAGCCCACTTGCCCCCGTCTTGATCTTTCCAAACCGCCGGTCGTGCCACCCCCCTTTCTTTGGAGCTGAGCCCAAGCTGCCTTCCCCTTCCCCAGGAAGCCGAGCCCTTACCTGCGCTTGCGGCCCATGAGGTTCTGAATGAATTTCTGAACCTGAGCGTTTCCTCTCATCTTGCTGTACTCGCTGGTGAACAGCCCGTCCGAGTGCCTCTGGGACCTGCGTCAGGGAAAACGCCGCACGAGCAGCTGCTCCTCCCAACCGCTTGTCACAGGACACAGAAATTTCTTTCTTCTCACCAGCAAGGAGCCCTGGACCCCTCCCCTTCTCCTCTCCCACCTCCTTTCACCTTGGGCATCTTCTGGCTGAGGACAGTGCCCAGGCTGGCTCTGGAGCTGGGGACAGCTCAGCACCATGGGCATCCCCCTCCTTGCTGGGATCCCATCTCCCACTGGAGCCTTCCGCACCCCAGGAAGGTGGGTTTGGCAGGTCCTTACCTTTCCTTGAGGCCCACCAGGTGTTTGACCAGCTGCTGCACGTAGGCATTGCCGTTCATCTTGCTGAGCTCACTGTGGAAGAGCCCATCAGCGTGTCTCTCAGTCCTGGGAGGTTAGAAGAAAAAAAAAAAAAAGTAAAAAAAAAGGGTGAAAAAGCACAATTTTAAGACCAGGGAAGAACAGGTATTTACAACCGGAAAGAGAATCCCAAACAAAGGCAGGCAAGAATTTGTGACAATTTAGCAAAGCTTCACACAGAAAGGGGCAAACATTATAGGAGTTTAAAAGAAATATCTTTGTTCACCACCACAACTTGCGGTGGCTTCTTACTAATGGAATCACTTCACCGTAAGGGGCACCTCTTACCTCTCTCGAGGTGGAAGAGATGCTGAGAAGTGTGACAGGACAATCATCGGAATGATCAGCTGCCACAGCCCAGTCAGCACAGAAGCCATGGTCCCTCCTGAAGGAAAGCACAAGGTTTGAGGCGCCACAAAACCAACAACCTCAGTCTTTGCCGGGCAGGGTTCACACAGCTGCACAAATAGCCCCACTGCAACTAAATTAGCCACCAGAGATAGTATTTCTTTAAAGCACGAAAGGTGAACTATTCAAATCATTCATGTTGCCAGCTAGCTGGAAGCTGTTTGTGGTTTTTATCCCCCCACCACGCAATCCCGGAGCACGGATCTGCTGCGTTTGTGCTGGAGTTTTGCTGTGAGTCGGTGCAACATGCCTCGACCATGCGGGTAGGTATCACGGGAATTAATCCCTCAGTGGCACAGCACCGTGGAATAAATCCCGTTCTACTCAAGTCTCCGAGAGCTGAGCCTGCAGGGAGCAGATTTAAAGCATCTCTGAAAACATCCCACATGGACAGCTATTCGTATGCCTAGAAGATACCCAGGAGAACTCCGTTGGTGTGTTTTAGACAAAAAAAAAAGCCACAATGGTATGCACCAAATAAAAGTTCATCTACACACGGGAGAAGGGAAGGCTCTTGTGTCTGCCGATATCTGCCCATCCTCCAGTCTTTCAAGAGGGAAAAAAAAGAACACACGTTTTCAGTAGCAGCAGAAATTTGTGTGGTTTATAAGCCAGCACATGTTTTTCCCTTTTATCTTCAGGCTCTTTTTGCAGCCTTTTGTCTGCAGATGTGCATATGCCTTTAAAATAAGGTGCTCGCTTTCCCCCAAGGTTTACACTGGAACGATCTCTGTGTTTTATAACATATCCGCCTTCCCTTCTGCACAGAAGCAAACCTTGCTTTCTTAGTCACCATCCTGGAAACTCAGATATTATTTGTTAACCCGAAATCAAAGTTCTCCCACTTTGTGTTTTGTTTGTTGGGGTTTTTAAAGTCTAAAACTAAACAGAACAAAGAGCATTAAAGGACAGTCAGAATTTCCTGAACACTGTCTCCTCGGACTCTTCGCTACTCTAGAGATACTGCAAGATGAGAAGAGGCAAGAGGAGGAAGGGCAAGAGTCAGGGATTTATAGAGAAATTTATTTGCCATAAGCCACAGCACAAATATTTAACGGGGGCTGCAGGGCAGACAGGTGAGGTTTCGCATGATTAAGGAGCCATAAGCTTAATCTCACACAGACTTCTGACGTTTCAGCGTTGTGTTTTCCTACCTGACTTGGTAAAACAAGAAGGACATTTCAAAAAATCCATTTCTTGTTGGAGTCGAAACGAATCAAATTCCCCAGTGCCACCTCCCAAGGAAGAGACACTGAAAGAGCTGAAAGCAGTCACCAAGCCCAGAGCTCACCCCTTCCCGGGGAAGGGAAACCTGGATCCTGAGCCTGTCCTTCAGTCTGTACCACCCCTGCCAGGCAACACCTTCACCTCCAGCCAGGGTCTCACCACAGCGTTTTGACCTTCCCCACGCCAACCCCGGGCCAGCGCTTGTCCTGGAGCTCCACATTTAAGAGCCCGTTTTAGATCCCCATCCCTCGTCCCAGAGCCTTTCCCTCTCTTCTGGCTGCTAATCAAGTGGATCAGCTTGTCTTTTCATAATGCTCTCTGCCCTCTGCACATTGTATTTTCTTGCTGAACCTGCGAGGAGCAGCGCTGGCCGTCAGGGAATTCCTCCTGCGTATCAGAAACGATGCATTGCATGGGGGGTTTTTAATCAGACTGCAGGGTGCAGGTAGATCTCCAGTGCCATCACAGTAGAGCTGCTCAACCTTCTTAAGATGCTTCTGAGCTTTTTATCTCCCTCTCCAGAGAGGCTTTCACTAAGTGTAAATTTCTTAGCTAGGCTGGGACCTTCAGCTGAAAGAGGGGTCCACCAAGCCAGTCCAGGACCTGGGACCATCTCAGACCTTTCCAGCCGACAAACCCTACCGCTGAAACGTCAAACTGCACCCAAAGGCTTGGCTGCATCAAGGCTCCCTTCACCTCACCGGAGCAGCACCACGAAAAGAGCTCCCCGGAAGACTGGCACACAACCACTTCGTGCACCTTCCTGCTTCTGCCCACCCGTTGTGCTCCACCTAAAACTAGAGACTCTGTCTTTCTGGAAGCCATTTAGTCAAGCTGCTGCTGGGCTCCGTTTTCTCCTCTTGGTTGCTCCAGAGGAGGAAAACCCCACATATTACCAGCATTGCTGTTCAGGAGATGAATGACCTCATGACAACAGCTCAGCAAAGCATCCCAGAGGCCTGAAGTCCACCACCCAAAAGCTGAAAGAGGGGAGAAGGCAGCCCTGAGCACGTCGGTACTCACCTGAGCGTGGTCCCGCCAAGCTCTCAGCTACGATGCCCCACTGGCCCGCTCCTCCCCACGGCCCCTATAAATCCATAGCCCTTATCAGAAGCAATTATTTGGGTAAAGATACAAATAGGCGTTATCATGATTAACAGCAAATAACACATCCAGGCTTGAATATCCTTTTAATTGCTCTCCAAACTCAATATGTCATCCGCAGCGGTTCGATGGGCTGTATTTCTGCTGACAGGTAATAATTCCTGCTTCTGCCTGTAACGGCAGTAATTTGTTGGGCAAACATCCCTGTACCAACTGATTCATTATCTCTCCTCCTGGCTTTAATTACCTCTTGACAGGAGCTTAATCTTCTGCTCTTCTTTTTTAATCCTGGCTTGGGCTTTTTTTGTGTGCAGTTCTCAGGAACCGTGTGTAAGCGTATGCGTGTACCTGCAATTTGGCTAAATAATGCCACTTTTTTAGGGCAAGCAGCAGCTGATCATTTGGATGACAACTGACTTTTGCATGAGGGGACAATACCTACGAAGCTGTGGCTTCACAGCCGTGTCTGGGAAAGGGCTGCTGGGAACAGGCTGCATCCCAGCCTCACAAAAAGCAGCATACTTATACATGCATAGAAAACATCCTGAATATATTCCCTGCCTTTGATGGAGTTTGGAGCTGGTTGCTCTCAAATACTGCTGCTAACGGTGACAGGGAAACAGAGGGAGAAAATAGGATTACGCCCTTTTTCTCCTTTATGTTGTATAAAGTAGCTTGGAAGGATTAATGGTTATAAATAAATCTTATCTCCCAACTGGAGAAAAGAGAAGCTATATTACACTTTTTCTTGCCTACTTATCTTTTCTTCTTTGGAAAAGCAGAGGTCATCCCCAGGACCAGAGGGCTGTCAGGGACCTGATTTTCCCCATTATCTTTCCCTTGGAAGAATAACCCACACACTGATGAGCTGCAACTGCAGCGTGTGACCGCAGGCTGCTGCCAGACCCCTGCACCAGGGAGGGGAACGATCAGCAGCAACATTCCAGGTCCATTTCTGTTCTTTGCATTTCAATCTTCGTATTTGCTCTACTCGTATTTTAACATCTGCATCGGTGGTGGCCGACTCCAGCCTGGGCTCATGGCGGTGCCAAACACCTGTGACTGAGAAAGACCATGTAGGAAAAAGGCAAAGAGGAAAAAGTCTATTTAAAATAAAAGCTAAGCTGGCTGGTGTGGTTTCATTTCTTTTCCTTTGCAAACAACCTCCATGAGGCTGAAGCTCTTGGGGAAATTCAGTTTGCTATGAGAATTTAAATGGGTCTAGAGAAGGGACACACACAGAAGTGGCCCTGTGGAGGCAGCAGAGGGAGAGAGAAAGCTGCTGTGAACTGGAAGAAGACAAACCAAGGAACCTGGTCTATCCACTCTGCAACAAAATAATAAAAACAAAAATTAAAAAAAAAAGAGGTTTGCCTTGCAGTGACAGTGGCAGAGAGTGAAAAGGTGATGGGGTGGAAAAACACGTGGCCATGCTCAGCTCTGCTGCAACATGATGCAGGTGACAACCACGGGCTTGAGCTCAACTGCAGCTCCTGAAGCCCCTCTGAGGAAATTCAGGAGCACGCAAAGAAACTCAAAAGCTTTTGCAACCTGAAATTTTTTACCCAAATGAACCAAAGCCCGAACCAAATCCCCAGTCCTGAAGCAAAGCCTGATTCAGAAGTAACATTAAACTCTCGTCAGGAGTTGTTACCGAAACAGGAGTGATGAGCAATACTGCTCAGCAATATCGGCTGATTGGAGCTCTGCGAGTCTGCACCTTGCTTCTCCCATTCTCCATCTGCGTGAGCATTCAAAGTGAGAGCAGAGATTCCCCTCGCCTGCCGCTCAGAGCGTGATTAAATCACCCGCTAATCACTGAAATCTAACCCATCCTCTCAGTGCAGAGAAAAGCTCCCAGTCAGAGGAAAAAGAAATCATTGCCCTCACCTGCTCCATGCACCTGATGCTCAAGAAATCAGGGCTGAGCTGCTCCCTGCCACCAGCTGCCCCACAGCTTACCCAAAGGCATCGAAGCTGAGAGCAGCATGGAGGAAGGCTTTTTTCCTTCTTTTTACAGCAGGAACGAGGGGTTATCAAGCCTACGATGCAATACTCAGCGTCTCATAACTACACGTTAAACATATCAGCCTCAAATCAGGCAATATTTAAGCGGAGCACGCGAGCCTGGCCTTTTTCCATATTGGAGGAAAGGATACAAGAAGTCACATTTTGAAAAGGAGAGGGTTTCATCGTAAAGCTAGGCATCCTGACCCCACACGGCCAGGAGGATGCAGGCAGACTCTCAAAAATCAGCACACAGAGCTCTGGGAGGGGTGTCATTTTGAGTTTTGAAGGGCAGAAATTCCCATTCACACTTGTTCTGGCTGGAGAGCCGCCCAGGATCAAAGCTTTCTGGGGCTGCCTGCCTCCCGTTTGCAGGCTGAAGAGAAAGAACTGACTGTCCCAGGAGTCCCTCTGTTGGAATTTAGGGCTGGGATGGCCACTAAACCCTGAGAGATGCTCCCTGTGATTCCCCCAGCACCCTCTCAGGGGGGAGGATTCCCAAGTGGAACAAGAGAGAGAGACTGCAAGCTTGGGAAAAAAAACAACAGCTTGAACCAATTTAATGAGAAAATATAATACTAGCAATAATAATGAAGGTGTTGAACTATATATAAATACACACCAGAATGAAA